GTATTAGCACTTAAATCCTCAAATGTAAAAATGAATGTTCTTAACTGATTAAATTACGCTCCCCTTACACGATAATCATAATTATTGATAGATGGAATTGACTTTTTTTCTTCTCTTAATTGATTTATGTGGCCATAAAGCACCAAATTGGTTGATAAAATGAACTTTTCCCCCTTAATATGATTAATTGATTACTATTCACAATCAAGCATCAAAGGAATACTAATAAATTTTAAATCTGTGGTTCATGAGAGTCGTGCCCGAGACCTTTTTTTACACTTGGAAAGAAATGTCAATAGACAATAATACTAATGTTACACTAATTTTTTTATTTATGCATAAAGAAATAAAATTTACTTTCACTACTTCACTTCAACATGGAATTATTTCAATTTTAAATTACAGTGTTGCTCTGTTATTATCATTACAGTATAGTATTAGTCATTTTTATTTGTAAGTAGAATATCAAATTCAACTCCTATGAATGATGAATTTGTTGGCCGGTCAATAGCATCACAAACCATACATTTTGATTTTTTTTTTCCAAATCAACTGATCAGAACCATTAATCACACTGACTACCAACAAACAAGGCATGCCCGTCTAGTAACAACGCGATGACGAGTACGATACAACTATAAACCTATTTTCTTTTGAGAAATGGTAAGGAGGCTTTTTCAAAAATGAGATTCTCTGTACTCTCTTTCACCTCATGTTTTGAACACAATACTTTATTATGTTAACACGAAAATTAACATTAAACAGTAAAACGACCTAAAGTCTATAAAGAGTTTTCTAAATTCGCAACTTGCTACGAAAATAAACACCCACCAAAAACATCAAAACCCAAAAAAAGTAAATAAAGAAAATAGTAAAAGCAGCGTAGCAGTAGTAGTACTTTGCTGGTTATAGTGACGACGGCCGTACATATATAACCCTCAACGACCAAATCATTTTATCGTACATATATAATCGCGTTCTCGTACCCAACGGCACGCCTCCTCTCCGCAGTCCGCACACATGCGGCCGCATACTCGCCGATAAATCGCTGGGAATCTCGTCGATCGAATTGGACGCGGATTGGTCCGGGAGTCTTCCTAGGGTTCCGGCGAGCCGTTGAGATTCTCTCTCTGCGTGTGTTGTGCGTGGGGCTTAATGGCGTCGGAGGATGTGAAGAGGACGAGTGATTCCGCGGTGTCGACGATTGTGAACCTGGCCGAGGAGGCGAAGCTCGCAAGCGAAGGAGTGAAGGCGCCGACCGGCCATGTCTTGCTTAGCATCGCCAAGTCCCTCGTCGCCGGAGGAGTTGCCGGTGGAGTGTGAGTTCGTAGCGAATACTGATTTTTTTCTATTTAATAAGTAGAAATTATAAAGTTTTTATTTTTTGTGGGTGTATACGATTGCTTTGCTTTACTCCTTTTACTTTGGTTTGTTTTTGCGCTGAATTTGCTGTAGGTTTTTTTTTTTTCCAAAAACTTGTGGCATGAAATTGGACTTAATGCTTGGTTGCCCGGAAATGGAAAACCTTTTTTAAATTTCATGGATTGTGGTCTTCCATGGAAGAGCAGTATTTAACAATGATGTAGTTGAATCTCAATGTTTGTTGGAAGTATATTGTAAGGAGTCGTATATGTCTTTATGTATTTCAGAACGAAAATACTTGTAGGAAATGGATGGAACACTTGAGGAGGAAATGGGATCTTGCTGTGTGAAGATTGTATGTTTTATGATCTCTATGCTGTTTGCTTAACAGGAAGCACCCACTCCTTGTTGTCGGAGTTGCTATTTCTTTCTTGAATGGGTTTTAGATAATTGAGTGTTAAGAGAAAATAGTTTTGTGTTATGCATGAATGTAGTTGTCAATAGGCATTGTTGTTGTTGTATTACATGCAACAAGAGTGATGTGGGTGAACTTCAAACCTTACGCTTCTCTATCTGGTATTGACTACCCGGTGCAGGTCACGAACTGCAGTTGCTCCATTGGAAAGATTAAAAATTTTGCTGCAGGTACTTCTCTTATTTGCACATACGGGAAATTTGGTGATGTACCATTTGATCCTTATTCAATACTCTGTTTATGAAACCTTTATCACTGTAATTGAATGCACGTTAATCAATACTCTCTTTTTTTGGGGGTATTGGGGTGGGTGGGGTTGACGAGGACCTAAGCATTTTATGTTAAGTCAAACTAAATTGGATTTGCATCTTCCATAAATGCAGGTTCAAAACCCTCATAGTATTAAATACAATGGGACGATTCAGGGCTTGAAGTACATATGGAGGACTGAGGGTTTCAGAGGCTTGTTTAAAGGCAATGGAACTAATTGTGCTCGCATAGTCCCAAATTCAGCAGTCAAGTTCTTTAGCTACGAGGAAGCATCAAAGTATGCTTCTCCATGTCCCAATTTCTCCCCCCACCCCCACAATTTTTTAATATGTGTACTGATTTGTATTGGCAGCTATATTTCCTGTCAGCTGCTTTCTGATAACATTTTCACGTTTATGTACTTTGTCCAAACAGGGGTATTTTATGGTTCTACCGACAGCAAACTGGAAATGGTATGACCACCTCGTGCCTATTTCTTATGCAAAGTCAATTACCATGAAATTATTGGCGGCTTCATTTGGAATGAATCAATTCAAAGTAATTTTCACAGTTTCTAGGCAACTATGCCAGTCTTATCCTCATTGTGTAGCTTTTCAATGATAACTTGAAGGTTCTTTACTTTCAGTCTTGATAGGGGGTAGGAAGTTCATTTTATGGTTTGTGTGCTTTTAGACTATTTGGGTTATGGTATCTAATGTTAAATAGTAGTACTTTGGGAGGCAGTGTCTTATTTGTATTGATTGATGCTTGGATTATTAAACGATTCAAACCATCCCCTTTTGTGTTTTGTAGTTTTCCACCTAGAGATGCATGTAAATTAAATTTTTTGATTTCCTGGGCTGAATTCATTCAGTCTGTGTTTGTTGTCTGAGATCTGATTGCCAATGAGTTTCTTTGGTTAACTTTGAATCAGTTGTGTGCTCTCTGTGGCCAAGTTCTTCCCTCATGTAAAATGTATGTCTTATAGATCCAATTTTGGGAAAAAATTATGAAAATTGTGGCTTTAATGGATTTCTAGAGTGATATTTGTTGTTCATCTCTTGCAGAAGATGCTCAACTCACACCTGTATTACGGCTTGGAGCTGGTGCATGTGCTGGAATTATTGCCATGTCAGCAACTTACCCAATGGACATGGTACGAGGTCGTTTGACTGTCCAGGTATAATTTAGAGATTTCTTCCTGCGATCGAAGCAATTAGTATTACATGTTCACTTTGATGGCTTAAATTTGTTTGAACTTTATTTCTTCAGACAGACATGTCTCCTCGGCAATATAGGGGAATATATCATGCTCTCACAACCGTCTTTAGGGAAGAAGGACCCCGGGCTCTGTACCGAGGCTGGCTGCCTTCTGTCATAGGAGTTGTAAGTGAAGTGTTTGTTTATTTCTGTATTCTCTATGGTGCTAAAATAAATAGAATCCTCTATCAAATCGTTGGTTCATTCATTAACATTTCCATTGTCGTAATCTGCACTTTGATGAGTGTAGATGATGAGTTATAGTTCTGATGGGATATTTTTTTAGGGTAATATTGTGCGAGGAAAGGTTTTAGGGGTGTGATGTCCACACACCCCATTTTACTTCTCAACACCTTTTTAATTTTCGGCCGTCGGATCGGATGAATTGAAGAAGGTCAACGGACAGAAATTAACAAGGGGTGTGTGAGAAGTAAAATGGGGTGTGTAGATAGCACACCCCAAGGTTTTATTCGCATTTCTGTATGAGATGTCTAAAATGTTTTCTAATCTGTTTACAGGTACCTTACGTTGGTCTAAATTTTGCTGTTTATGAATCTCTGAAAGACTGGTTGATCAAAAGTAGACCTTTTGGACTAGTCCAGGACTCTGAGTTGAGTGTACCTACGAGGCTTGCATGTGGGGCTGCTGCTGGGACTGTGGGCCAGACAGTTGCTTACCCTCTCGATGTCATCCGGAGAAGAATGCAGATGGTAGGCTGGAAGGATGCTGCTTCGGTTGTCGTTGGTGATGGAAAGAGAAGGGCATCCCTGGAATATACTGGTATGGTTGATGCATTCAGGAAAACAGTACGTCATGAGGGGTTTGGAGCACTGTACAAGGGTTTGGTCCCAAACTCTGTTAAGGTCAGTGTTTAAAGGCATATCCTGGAACCGAAATTAAAATCTTAGCGTATCTTTGCATACTCATCTTCTATCCAACCTTTACAATGCTTTTTTGTTCTTTTAGGTGGTACCTTCCATAGCAATTGCTTTTGTCACATATGAGGTAGTGAAGGATGTTCTTGGAGTTGAGATGAGGATATCTGACTAAAAGCATAGAGAACCGTGAGCCACATGTTTAACTTCTGTTCTAAATCCAAAAATGAGCGGGAATGGACTGCGTAGGAGAAGGTAAAGTGTCAGGATTTTTTAATAATTTATAGGAGGAAGTTTAGAAGCAGACGTATAGCCCAGGTTGATAGTCCTTCCCGTCCATCTTATACACATATCTGTCTTCATCCGAACGACTATAGCTTTTAGCTTTCCTGTTCATATGCTTTGGCATTGTGACAATAAGTATTATCTTTCAAGGAAATTATGCATTACAATGGATTGATTTCTACAGAATACGAGTAATTTTGCTCAGTTCTATTTATTGTCTATTTGCCTTCCGTATACTGCGGGCATTTTTGAGCGAATCAGTTGGCAAACTAAAAGTGACGCTGTACAACACGTGGATTCGCCAAAACAGCAGTTTTGCAAGGAATTTGCACTTTGAGATTTATTTTCTTCAAGTGTTTGGTACCGTTACCTCTTGAAGTTCGAATATTTTGTGCCAATCTTTGAATATTACATTTACAGATAACGTGATTGTATGTGTTGATGGATTCGAAAAATCTTATTTTTCGTCTAAACCAGTGACATTCGACGCAAACGAGGTTAACAAAGAACCATCTGCATTTTATACATGCCTGCATTCAATGGACGAGAACAAAAGCAAAATTTACAAGCAAACTCGTGCATATACGTTTCAAGCTCTACCTAAAATGCTTTATAAACACTAGCCTTCAAAAGAAACACAAAAAATGGAATCAATAAAAACAATTCATGATGCAAAGGGACTAAAAACTGTCATATTGCAATCAAAGGAAAATATATATATATATATATATATATATATATATATATATTTATCAAGGACGAGATGTCGAAGCCCTCGTCTGGCCTCTTGCAGGAGTTGTCTTCGAGAGAATTTCCTTGAGATGATCGTACCGGCTTTGGTGATACTCGATCCATATGCACAACTGTCTTATGGCTTCCCTCTTCTCCTCTCCTAATCCCAGCATTCCCTCTGTTTTCTCCTCCACCACCTTCTCCAAGTCCGCCGCTTTCTTCTCAAGTTGGCTCATGGCCTTGATCAGACTCCCCTTCTCCACTTCTTCCTTGCTTGCCTTTGCCCGCATCCTCTCGACCTGCTCTCCAAGCACCAATGCTTCTTCTTTCTTATCTCGCAGTTGTTCAATTAGGTCCCCCACCTCCCTCTTCAACGTCTCTCTTTCACTCCTTGTTTCTGCAACCCAATTCTTTGCAACGTGAAGCTCCTGCGATGTTTCCAGAATGCACGTCTCATACTCTGCACAGTCGTCCATAAATTTTTTTATCATGGATTCCATTCCGCTGAAATAACTGTTCACATTTTCTGCAACAAGTGTGATGTTTCTTTGATAGGCTTCGTTGTTTGCAGAGATTATATCAGACAATCTAGCAATCCTGTCTTCAAGTGCTCTCTGTTCTTCCAGGAATTTCAGTTCTGCCTTTCTGAAGCTCTCCTCTTTCTCAGTCAATACCTGCTCTGTAACCCGGAGCTTCTGGTTTGACAGGCGGAGCTTAACTTCAACATTACGGGAGTTTTCAACCAAAGAACTAAGCTCGTACCCTTTTTCTTCAAGATCTCGTTTCAGATATTCAGCCTCTTGCTCCAAATCAGCTATTGTCTCATCTTTGGATTCAATTTTCTTACTGAAATCTTCCGCCATTTGCTCGATTTTCCTTTCTGCAGCGTCTTGGTTGACCTTACTGTCCTGGATATGACTCTCCAGCTGCATATATTCATCTTTTAACTTGCCATATGTCTCCTCGTGTTCATTCAGCAGTCTCTGATGATCAGCAATCTTGCTCTCTAACTCAACCTTTTCATTTTCCAATTGCGTCAGGCTCTGTGAAAGTTCTTGTTTCTCCCTCTCAAACTGCAACTCCATCTGGTTCTTCTCAGCCTGCAATGAATCCAAATCCTGTTGTAGATTAGTAACCTGTGATACAAAGGCTGTTATTTGAGCAGAAGTGTCATTCACTGCACTGTCATGTTTCTCCTGGAGGGAAGAAAACTCGGCCTCTTTTTCTGTTAGTCTCCTCTCAAATTCAACAATTTGATCCCTTAGCTCAACAATTTCCACTCTCAATTGATCACTCTCGAGGCATTTTGTTCTTATCTCCTCTTCGAGTTCACTTTTGTGGTTGTGTATTGAGTCCACCTTTATCTCAATCTCTCTCTTTTCTGCCGTCAAACTCTCTTTCTCTTCCACAACCCTCTCATGATCCGTTATCTTGTTTGTTATTTCTTCTTTCAGATTCTGTATCTGTATCAAGAATTCAGAAACTTCTTGAGTTTTGTTCTCAAGCTGCACTTGCAATTCAGTTTTCCCGCTCTGCATTGACAACAATTCCTGCTGCAACACATTTACTTGTTCCGTTAATCCCTTGACCTGAGTCGATGCTTCATCACCTTTGGATACTATAAGTTCCTCCAACTCAACTTTCTGGGCACGCAAAGAATCTACCTCAGCTAGCAGATTATTGATCTGTGCGGACAAATCTGCTATTCTGGATGACGATTCATGATTGCTGTCCTCAAGTTTCTTCGTGAGATCGGAAAGTTCAGCTTCTCTGTCTTTCAAAGTCGATTCAAGTTCTGAAATTCGGGCTTGCAGTCCCGCATTTTCCTCTCCCAGTTGTTTTGCTACAGTTTCTTTGCTCTCGATCTCTACTTCCAAACCACTCTTCTCATGTCGCAAAGATTCCAGCTCCAGTGCTAGCCCTGTAACTTCTGAGTCAAATCCTTTTATTTTATCCAGTGTTTCAATCTCATGCAGATTGTGCATCTCAGACAGAGTTGAGTATTCCTTTTCCCTCTGACCCAGTTTCTCTTGTAGCTGACCATATTCATTACTGCTGTCCTCAAGTTTCTTCGTCAGAGCAGAAAGTTCAGCTTCTCTCTCATTTGATATTGATTCAAGTTCTGAAATTCGGGCTTGCAATCCCACATTCTCTTCTGCTAGTTGTTTCACTTGAGTTTCTTTCTTCTCAATCTCAACCTCTATATCTTCTTTCTGACCTCGCAAGGATTCCAGCTCCAGTTCCAGCCCTGCCACAGCAGCCTCTAAACCTGTAATTTGAGCCAACGTTTTACTCTTATGCAGCTCATGCATCTCAGCCAGAGTTGAGTGTTCCACTTCCATCTGACCCAGTTTCTCCTGTAGCTGACCATATTCATTACTGCTGTCCTCAAATTTCTTTGCCAGGGAAGAAAATTCGGCTTCTCTCTCATTTGATATTGATTCAAGTTGTGAAATTCGGGCTTGCAGTCCCGCATTCTCTTCTGCTAGTTGTTTCACTTGAGTTTCTTTGTTCTCAATCTCAACTTCGATATCTGTTTTCTGACCTCGCAAAGATTCCAGCTCCAGTTCCAGCCCTGCCACAGCAGCCTCTAATCCCGTAATTTGAGCAAATGTTTTACTCTTATGCAGCTCATGCATCTCAGACAGAGCTGAGTATTCCACTTCCCTCTGACCCAATTTCTCCTTCAGCTGAATAGATTCACTATTGATCTCCTCAAGTTTTTTGGTGAGAGCAGAAAGTTCAGCTTCTCTCTCATTTGATATTGATACAAGTTCTGAAGTTTGGGCTTGCAATCCCGCATTCTCTTCGGCTAGTTGTTTCACTTGAGTTTCTTTCTTCTCAATCTCAACTTCTATATCTTTTTTCTGATCTCGCAAAGATTCCAGCTCCAGTTCCAGCCCTGCCACAGCAGCCTCTAAACCTGTAATTTGAGCCAAAGTTTTACTCTTATGCAGCTCATGCATCTCAGACAGAGTTGAGTGTTCCACTTCCCTCTGACCCAGTTTTTCCTGTAGCCGACCATATTCATTACTGCTGTCCTCAAATTTCTTCGCCAGGGAAGAAAATTCGGCTTCTCTCTCATTTGATATTGATTCAAGTTGTGAAATTCGGGCTTGCAGTCCCACATTCTCTTCTGCTAGTTGTTTTACTTGAGTTTCTTTGTTCTCAATCTCAACATCTATATCTTCTTTCTGACCTCGCAAAGATCTCAGCTCCAGTTCCAGCCCTGCCACAGCAGCCTCTAATCCCAGGATTTGAGCCGATGTTTTACTCTCATGCAGCTCATGCTTCTCAGACAGAGCTGAGTATTCCTTTTCCTTCTGATCCAATTGCTCCTTCAGCTGAATAGATTCACTATTGATCTCCTCAAGTTTTGTGGTGAGAGCAGAACGTTCAGCTTCTCTCTCATTTGATATTGATACAAGTTCTGAAGTTTGGGCTTGCAATCCCGCATTATCTTCGGCTAGTTGTTTCACTTGAGTTTCTTTCTTCTCAATCTCAACTTCTATATCTTTTTTCTGACCTCTCAAAGATTCCAGCTCCAGTTCCAGCCCTGCCACAGCAGCCTCTAAACCTGTAATTTGAGCCAAAGTTTTACTCTTATGCAGCTCATGCATCTCAGACAGAGTTGAGTGTTCCACTTCCCTCTGACCCAGTTTTTCCTGCAGCCGACCATATTCATTACTGCTGTCCTCAAATTTCTTCGCCAGGGAAGAAAATTCGGCTTCTCTCTCATTTGATATTGATTCAAGTTGTGAAATTCGGGCTTGCAGTCCCACATTCTCTTCTGCTAGTTGTTTTACTTGAGTTTCTTTGTTCTCAATCTCAACATCTATATCTTCTTTCTGACCTCGCAAAGATCTCAGCTCCAGTTCCAGCCCTGCCACAGCAGCCTCTAATCCCAGGATTTGAGCCGATGTTTTACTCTCATGCAGCTCATGCTTCTCAGACAGAGCTGAGTATTCCTTTTCCTTCTGATCCAATTGCTCCTTCAGCTGAATAGATTCACTATTGATCTCCTCAAGTTTTGTGGTGAGAGCAGAACGTTCAGCTTCTCTCTCATTTGATATTGATACAAGTTCTGAAGTTTGGGCTTGCAATCCCGCATTATCTTCGGCTAGTTGTTTCACTTGAGTTTCTTTCTTCTCAATCTCAACTTCTATATCTTTTTTTCTGACCTCTCAAAGATCCAGCTCCAGTTCCAGCCCTGCCACAGCAGCCTCTAAACCTGTAATTTGAGCCAAAGTTTTACTCTTATGCAGCTCATGCATCTCAGACAGAGTTGAGTGTTCCACTTCCCTCTGACCCAGTTTTTCCTGCAGCCGACCATATTCATTACTGCTGTCCTCAAATTTCTTCGCCAGGGAAGAAAATTCGGCTTCTCTCTCATTTGATATTGATTCAAGTTGTGAAATTCGGGCTTGCAGTCCCACATTCTCTTCTGCTAGTTGTTTCACTTGAGTTTCTTTGTTCTCAATCTCAACATCTATATCTTCTTTCTGACCTCGCAAAGATCTCAGCTCCAGTTCCAGCCCTGCCACAGCAGCCTCTAATCCCAGGATTTGAGCCGATGTTTTACTCTCATGCAGCTCATGCTTCTCAGACAGAGCTGAGTATTCCCTTTCCTTCTGATCCAATTGCTCCTTCAGCTGAATAGATTCACTATTGATCTCCTCAAGTTTTTTGGTGAGAGAAAGTTCAGCTTCTCTCTCATTTGATATTGATTCAAGTTCTGAAGTTTGGGCTTGCAATCCCGCATTCTCTTCGGCTAGTTGTTTCACTTGAGTTTCTTTCTTCTCAATCTCAACTTCTATATCTTTTTTCTGATCTCGCAAAGATTCCAGCTCCAGTTCCAGCCCTGCCACAGCAGCCTCTAATCCCGTAATTTGAGCCAATGTTTTACTCTTATGCAGCTCATGCATCTCAGACAGAGTTGAGTGTTCCACTTCCCTCTGACCCAGTTTTTCCTGCAGCCGACCATATTCATTACTGCTGTCCTCAAATTTCTTCTCCAGGGAAGAAAATTCGGCTTCTCTCTCATTTGATATTGATTCAAGTTGTGAAATTCGGGCTTGCAGTCCCACATTCTCTTCTGCTAGTTGTTTCACTTGAGTTTCTTTGTTCTCAATCTCAACATCTATATCTTCTTTCTGACCTCGCAAAGATCTTAGCTCCAGTTCCAGCCCTGCCACAGCAGCCTCTAATCCCAGGATTTGAGCCGATGTTTTACTCTCATGCAGCTCATGCTTCTCAGACAGAGCTGAGTATTCCTTTTCCTTCTGATCCAATTGCTCCTTCTGCTGAATAGATTCACCATTGATCTCCCCAAGTTTTTTGGTGAGAGCAGAAAGTTCAGCTTCTCTCTCATTTGATATTGATTCAAGTTCTGAAGTTTGGGCTTGCAATCCCGCATTCTCTTCGGCTAGTTGTTTCACTTGAGTTTCTTTCTTCTCAATCTCAACTTCTATATCTTTTTTCTGATCTCGCAAAGATTCCAGCTCCAGTTCCAGCCCTGCCACAGCAGCCTCTAAACCTGTAATTTGAGCCAATGTTTTACTCTTATGCAGCTCATGCATCTCAGACAGAGTTGAGTGTTCCACTTCCCTCTGACCCAGTTTCTCCTGTAGCTGACCATATTCATTACTGCTGTCCTCAAATTTCTTTGCCAGGGAAGAAAATTCGGCTTCTCTCTCATTTGATATTGATTCAAGTTGTGAAATTCGGGCTTGCAGTCCCGCGTTCTCTTCTGCTAGTTGTTTCACTTGAGTTTCTTTGTTCTCAATCTCAACTTCTATATCTGTTTTCTGACCTCGCAAAGATTCCAGCTCCAGTTCCAGCCCTGCCACAGCAGCCTCTAATCCCGTAATTTGAGCCAATGTTTTACTCTTATGCAGCTCATGCATCTCAGACAGAGCTGAGCATTCCACTTCCCTCTGACCCAATTTCTCCTTCAGCTGAATAGATTCACTTTTGTAATCTTCAAGGTTTTTCGTGAGAGCAGAAAGTTCTGCTGCTTTCTCATTTGATATTGACTCAACTTCTGAAATTTGGACTTGCAGTCCTGCACTCACCTCTCCCAGTTGTTTTACTTCAGCTTCTGTGCTCTCAATCTTCACTTCCATATCTCTTTTCTGAGCTCGCAAAGATTCCAGCTCCAGTTCCAGCCCTGTCACAGCAGCCTGTAATTCCATAATTTGAGCCAAAGTTTCCTTCTCATGCAGCTCATGCATCTCAGACAGAGCCAAATATTCCACTTCCCTCTGACCCAATTTCTCCCGTAGCTGACTAGATTCAGTTGTTTCTTCCTCCTTGGCTTTCAGATTGTGGCTTAAATCTGATACCTGCTCTTCTGCAGATTGCAGCTTCTGCTTTATATGGATGACTTCCCCTCGAACAGATTCTAGTTCTTGCTCAAGGGTTACTTTTTCATCTTTCAGCCGATCAATCACGGTTCTTAATTCCGCTGTAATAGTCTCTCCATCTTCAATCGTTCTCAGAGCAGTCTCTTTCTCCTTAATCAAGTTATCTTTCTCTCCTTCCACATCTTCCACTTTTTGAATCAATTCAGCTTCTATCTTTCCACCAGCTTCCAGTTTTTGTTTTAGCTCACCATTCTCAGCCAAAAGTAGTGATTTTTCAGCATCTAACCTTTCAGCTGCAGTCTTCAAGTCAATAAAAACACTCTCCTTTTCTTCTATCTTGGTCAAAGCCGCCGCACAATCTGAGCTTAAAGCTTCCTTCTCTTCACTTGTAGCGGTCAATCTCCTCTTCAGGTCAGCAACTTCTTGATGTGCCAATTCAAGTTCCTGCTTGATCCCATCAGTTATTTTCTGAAAGTCACTTTCCATCACTCCATTTTTACGGCTTTTTTCATTTGAAGAATGATCGGAATCTGAGTCTGAACTTGATGAAGAGCTGTTGTCCTTTTCTTGTTTGCTCCAAACTTTTTCCTTCAGCGCTCCAGTTAGTTGATCATATTGTGCATACAGTGATTGGTAATCCTTGTGGAAATCCTGAATTAGCTCAGCGAGAGGTTCCACTTTGGAGTTCTCTACTGGGATGTCATCTTTTTTAAGCTCTTCATTTTTTAGAAGCTTCAATATTTTATTCACCTTCTCCTCAATACCTGCAGTAAAAATAGAAAACTTCTTTAAATTTCCATTTCATCGATCCACCGAAATTTGTAATCATAGTGAAGTTTATCCCAGTTGCATTGTATAGTGCTGCAATGCCATCTCAAAGCCTAATGCAGAATTTTACAGGAAAATTTACCTATTTTAGTTCCTTTCAGCTCTTCATGCTTCTGTGAATTGATGTGACTTCCAAATAAGGACTTAATTTCCCTCATGCGGTGCTTTGGCATCGCTTCAATTTCTATGCTTCCCCAGTAGATGTGAGTTATGAAGAGGTTGTATCCATCTCCAGCTCAAAGCCTGAAACACAAAAATTCTCCCCTTTTAAATCATTGTAGAAGCATAAGGTGTAAGTAGATAATGTCAAGTGCTAAAAGCATTCAGAAGAGGGTTACATCGACAATTTACCTTTAACACTATTGGTCATTAACTTTGTTTATTCATGTCAATGTCATGAGGTTTGTACAGTATGTTTACCCAGGTATGGACTTCTTACTCATTTTTTATCCTCACTCCACTTTGATAAAACTATCATAAGAAAAGCAATAGATTATACATTCTAGTTTAGTTGTTCAGTTCACAGGAGAAAGACTTGGGTGAAACAGGATTCACAACAACCCGTTCTTTGGAAGTCTCTCTCCGTTGTCTCATCTTTAAGGTGCAATAAATAATAGACCAATGTAACTGTCCATGAATCAATACACGGAAACTAGCATGGTCCTTGCCATAGCTACTTTAGGAAGCATGTACAAAGCTAAACCAAGAGCTCTACCTACTACAGATTTCTAACCAACCAACCGAATCTGAATCCATTTTAGACTGATTTTCAATCCTCCGTAGTTTTTTTATACAAAGATATATTTACACTACGGGGGTGGAGCAATAAATTGGTTGCGAACACGCCATTCCCGAGATTCGAACCTAAAACCTTTCACTTACAAGTAAAGAGGAATATTACTAAACTGTAGTATTAAGTAGCCAATCCTCCATAGCATCACAAAAAACTAATTTTTTTTCTTTCTAAACAGTGTTTCCCAGAATCTACCCATCACCCTATCCACCGTTGCCACTAACTAGTCTGGTGGCTAAAAAACAAAAAAAAAAAATGTAGTTGCATCATTCTATTCTTTTCCTTTGTAAAATTTTCATTTTCAAACAAATGGTAGGTATAACCGTACAAGCCACATGCATCCGCCACCTTTTTTTTTTTTTTTTGGTCAAACATGCATCCGAACACCTTCCTATCTTCTAAATTTGAGTAAATCTCGGAAGATTGTCTTTCAAGACCACACAATAGTTCACCTAATTAATACATTTAGGTATTACAGTAAATTTTTAACTACTCCTTAAATTTGTTTCAATTTGAAACCCCCAATTATTTTTGCTTACACCAACATGGAATTCTTTTTTTTTTATTATTCGAGCAACATTTTAAGTAATAATTCTAATATTCAAACCACGTAAGAAAAACTGTTCCAACTTGAGTGAAGAGGGCGAGTGCAATAATCTCTAAAGAATTAGAAACTAAAAAAACAAAAATAAAAAACATGGCTACTTTAGAAAAATTTTGAGTGAATCCAAATTAGTAAAAGTCCAAATTTTGATGCCACGTCAGCTTTTTAGAAAAGCGGAATCCCCTACAAAGCCGATTTGGGATCCAGTATAGACAGCCAACATGCATACCTTGAAAAAAAATGAGCTGTTCGCCGTGTGTACACAAAAATAAAATTCGAAAAATGAGCTGTTTCTTTTTGTTTATTTCCTTCCATTTAACTAAATGCCAGGTAATTGTCAACAAATGCTCGAATATTAAAAAGTAGCCAAAACCATATCATTACTTTCTGTATTCCGTATCTGCCCTTTTAAAAATTACTAAATTACGTAATTGCCACTTTAAACCTGTAACTCCGGCTGACAGTCAAATATAGGAAGAAAAGATATTTACCTTAATACTCTTTTGCTTCCTCTTCAAGTCGTCTTGACGAAGCTTCGTCGGGAATTGCTGACCTCAAAATCTTAGCAACCACCCCGCTGTAAGAAAATAATCAAATAAATAAATCACAACAGTTATGAACAAAGCGAGTGAAAATTTTAGGCAAACAGAAGAAAATTAATTAATTAATTTTTAAATCAAATTTCAATTCCAGAACTCGGCTGATCCGATTTCAGATTGTCGTTAACAAAAATCGAGATATAAATCGAGCAACTGAAGAATTTACAGAATGAAGAGAAAGCGAAATCGAGCATGCAAAGCTATGGCGGAGAAGAAGAAGTTTGATCCGACTCCGATCAAGAAGTTCAAGAAAACCAGTGACGAAAATTCTACTGAAAAAAAAAAACAGAGACTTCAATTCCGAGAAGAAAACAGAGTCGATGATCACCTGAAGCCGAAAGGTCAGAGCCGATTCTCGACCGGTGATCGAGCAGAGAGAAGCTTCCAGCCTTCCAGTCCTCCGATTGACGAGAGAGAGGGGGGGGGAGGAGAGAGAGAGAGAGGCTTATGAAAAATGAAAAATCGAAAAAATAAAATGAAAGGGAAAAAGAGATTTTGTTTTTATTAGAGGCGCTCAAAGTGACAGTACGCCATTTGTCGCTTCAAATATCCGAAGGTGCGGAATCTTGGAGCTTCTGGTGCGTAATTGCCCTTGTCTTTGAAGCTATATTACACTAGTGCCATTCTTCCTGGCGTTGATGCGAATGACTAGCTCGGAAAAGAATCACAGTTACCCGCAGCGTTCCGTCTAATAAAATTATGTCATGTCAGAAAATGATATAAATATGCATTATTAAAGAGTTGTGATATCACACGTTTTTTTTTATGCGCTATCCACACATTTTATTTTACTTCTCACACACTCTTGATAATTTATGTCTGTTGATCTTCTTCAATTCATTCGATCCGACGGCCGAAAATTCAAAAGGTGTGTGAGAAGTAAAATGGGGTGTGTGGATATCACATCATTTTTTTTTGGCTTCTCGCACATTTTTTTTAATTTTTTATCGTCGAATTTAATGAATTTAAGAAAATAAAATGATAAAAATTAATAAGAAGTGTGTAAGAAGTAAAATGAGATGTATGAATAGCACATCTCTTATTAAAATGAAACATCACATGATGATAAAGTCATTACGTATAGGTCATTTTTTAGTAAATTGTAGTAATGGTTCATCAACTTTAACCAAATTGAAGCAAGGGTCCCTCAACTAAAAATTCATTATCATTGGTCCATCAACTCATCAAAACATATAATAGTTATTTTCGTCAACTCCGTCAGAATTTTGTCAAAATGAGTTATATTGAAAATAAGGTTCTAAAAGACGTTAGGCGCTAATCGGGCTGCGAGCTAAGGCCTAGCACCTAGGTGGCTAGACGGGGCCTTGGCGGGCACCTAGGTGAACTAGGCAGATTTAAGTAAATCTATTATATTTCATGTAAATAAGTGTCTGTTTATAATTAAAAAATATATAATTTCATCGTAAACTACAAAATAATGATATATATTATGAAGTATTGAAACATAATGAAAACGTGAAAAACAAGCCTATAATATGTGTTTATTTAAGTATTCAACAAGTCCCTTACAATTAAAAAAATATAATTCAAAATAAAAATTATCTATTTTCTGTCTAAGTGAGTTACAACAAAGACTGATGCCTAGGCGGGCGCCCCAATAGGTTTAGACGTCCTTTCTTAATTTTCAAATGCCTAGGCATTAATTGGGACGGTGACCAACCACCTAGCGCCTAGACGAGGATTTTTAGAATAGTTATGATCATTGCTTCAATTGGGTTAACGCTTATGGACCATTTCTCCAGTTGGAATAAAGTTAATGGGTCATTAATACAATTTTTCTTATTTGATTTTCTATATTTGCCCCTTGATTCAACCTCACGTATATGACACGTTACTCATTTTGACGGAAGTTCTAACAAAGTTGACGAAAAAGATCATAGCTGCATATTTTAATGAGTTAAGGAATCAATAGTAATGAATTTTTAGTTAAATAACCACTACTCTAATTAAATTAAAATTGATGAACTATTACTATAATTTACTCGTTATTTTTTATTATCATGTATCCGTTACATGTAAGCTCGGCATTGAGACAGTTGCCAGCCAAGTTCTTATCCGAGTGCGGTCAAATTTTGGGGCGTCGAAGGTGATTGTGCCGTGAGCTTTGGTCGGAAATTATTGCATACTTGATGGCCCATGAGATCTCGCCACGTCAGTCATATTCCCGCGCAGGTTCGCTCGTTGTTGTTTTCGCTGTCCCACTCGCTTCCATGTGGGCTTTGGGAATTTCGTTGGCGGCAATAATTGCCGGATATGGAGGATGAAGTGGGCTTCCTCTGCTTTTGGGCAACGATCGAAACGGACTGTTAGGGATAAGCAACAATTTGTGAGGCGTGGTAGTGGTACTAAATGTGGTCTGTGTACAGTAGGGTTTGATGGTCCTGCATCACTTCTATTATGATTGGTAGGATTAATAGTAGTTCTATTGAACAAGACGGATCTCCATTTTGGGGAAAAAATAACAGACGTGATCGTAGTTATATTAGCTATAACATGAAATGGAGGATGAAGTGGGCTTGTTGTGCTTTTGGACCATGATCCAAACAGACAGTTTGAGATAGCAACAATTGATGGCAGGTTTGAATTTGCTATTTCCAACCTTATCCTCATCGGATTAAATGGGACGGATCTCGATTTTGTCAAGAGGTTATAATCATATTGGCTAGAGTACATGTATTTATTTTATGCATCGAGATCAAATCTCGCTTTTAAAAGTTTAGACTAGTTTAAAAATAGAAGATCATTTTTATATAAAAAACGATTAGATGGGTTGTTGGATAACTATTTCGTTTTTACTTTTCTAAAAAATACTTCAGTTAAAAAAATAAAAAATAAAAAAAGCTGGATACCAAAAAGTGAAAACTCAAGGCCAAATTGTGTGTGACGGAAAGGGCACAGGGCCACAGGGGAAAAGAGAAGGGAGAAGAAAAGATCCACCCCCAGTGGGTCCCACTACACCCACTTCAACAAATTAGAATTCTCCAAAAATGGAGAGAAATTTACGAAAATGTCCTTGCATTGAACAACCCATTAAAGCTGCATGTTAAGTTCAATTCTCATTCCACTTGAGCCCACGAGTTCGTAGTGACGAGTGCCACGATAATATACTAATTAGTACGTCACACGTGTCACGACAAATAAAGTCAACAAAAGTCGATACACACCCTTCTAGGAACATTTTGGTCATTTCACATTAGCGAGGACATTTGAGAGCCTGGGAATATGCCTTGACGTTGAATATGCTCACATCAACTACTACTGATTCCTAAGTGGGCGCAAAACATAAAAATGTGAATGGACAAAAAATAAAGTTTTAAAAAACTATTTTACTTTTTGAACATATTAACCCTCAGTACTAAGAACACATCTAATACTACTTATGATTTCTGAAAAACCTAAGCATGCCATAAAAGTTAAAAAGTGTATATATATATATATATATATATATATATATATATATATATATATATATATATATATATATATATATATACACCTGTAAACACTAAGAGTTGATAGATACATATACAACGAGCTGATACATACCAATGGCATAGCATACAATATCATCCATTAGCTCACTACTACAATATTAGCTTTAGGTGTCGGACGATCCTGGCGGTTAATAAGCCATTTTGACGGATAAAATATATCCAACACATAATTTATTTACTGTCGGATTAAAGTTACTTTCTGTCGGATATATCCGACATAAATTCCTGGCGGATTTAACCGCCATAAAATTATTATAACCCTCAGTATTTTTGAATTCTTTTCTTTTTTTAATATTTTTAACATATTCTAGCGGTTTTTAAGTTAATGGTGGCGGTTATAACTGACAGAAATTGACTATTTTATTATTTTAAAATGTTATATTGATTATAAATAAATAAACAAATAGTTTAAATATTTTTTTTTCACTCACGGTCCCATTACCTAATCTCTGAATGTTTTTTTTTTTTTGCGACTTTTTACACATGCTATCTCGGAGTATATACAAACATATTTGACGGTTGGATCGTTGAAACTAGTTTTATAGAATACATATCCTATCAAATTGATAGATTTAACAAACACTTAAGAGTTAATGTTATACTTCCATTAAGTATAAAAAATTATCCACTAGTGTAAATATTTTAAATTGAAGATCGAATTTGTTCAATGCATTCTTAAAGGGTCGAGGAGTATAGCTATAAAAAATCATCAAAATCGGAGCTAAAATAATCATTAAATTGTGATTTTTCGTTTATAACCGTTAAAAACTTTTGTTTTGTTACCTAATATCTGAATGTTTGTTTTTTGTGATTTTTTAGGTATGCGATCGTGGAGTATATTCAAACATATTTGACGGTTGGATTGTTGAAACTAGTTTCGTAGAATGCATATCCTATCAAATTGATAGATTTAACAAACACTTAAGAGTTAATGTTATACTTCCATTAAGTATAAATAGTGTAAATATTTTAAATTGAAGATCAAATTTGTTCAATACATTCTTATAGGGTTGAGGAGTGTAGCTGTAAAAAATCATCAAAATTGGCGCAAAAATAACCGTTAAATTATGATTTTTCGTTTATAACCGTCGAAAACTTTTGTTCTGTTACCTAATCTCTAAATGTTTGTTTTTTGTGATTTTTTAGGTATGTGATCTTGGAGTATATACAAACATATTTGACGGTTGGATCGTTGAAACTAGTTTCGTAGAATGCATATCCTATCAAATTGATAGATTTAACAAACACTAAGAGTTAATGTTATACTGTAAATATTTTAAATTGAAGATCGAATTTGTTCAATGCATTCTTATAGGGTCGAGGAGTGTAGCGAAAAAAATTGAGTGGTGTTCTATTATTTATATAATTGATTTATTTTAGTAACATAAGATTTCATTTTGTTGTTGTTGTATGGCAACAGTAGGGTGATTTCCAAACAGATTCCATAATAAATAAGGTTTTTTTATTTTATAAAGAACATGGCAAAATATAAAAAAAAACATTTACAAGATACACACAATTAGTAAATAACAGCAAAATGTTCAATTTTTTTGGGAATATTTTAATTGGATTATCCAAATTAACAATGAACATGACAAAAAAAAAGTTTACAAGATGTAGTTAATAGTTATCTATTAAACCAAATAATTATTTATTTTCGACAAAAAAAAACAATTATTTATTTAATTTTTAAAAACTTATTCTACTTAAATACATTTTATTTATTTATTTATTAAACCAAACAATTATTATTTTATTTTTTTAAATAGTAACAAAATTTTGGGGGGAATTTAAAAATTTGGGAGGGAATTTTGGGGGGAATATTGTCGGCATTTTTTGTTCTGTCGGTTTTAACCGACAGGAATGATAATTTTCCGTCGGTTTATATTTTAAAAAATGTTTCTGTCGATTTTAACCAACAGTAATGAAATTTTTTTTATACCCACATCCGGCCCCTTTTGGTTCATTTCTTTTTATACCCACACCCGCCGAATTTCTTAAATCCCTTTCACTGTGCTCCCAAAATCCCCCACCACAAATTACAAACCCTAGATCTCCCGATCCCTAGTCTGGTCGCAGACTAACACACGCTCGCCACTCCAATCCCTCTCGGAGATGTCACACTTCGGTCGATCCGGACCTCCGGACATCAGAGACACCTACTTATTCCTCGTCCTCAACATCACTTTTTGTAATTCCCCTTTTACCCTTCTCCTCCTTCTCCATCCCCTTGCTGAAAGCCCTAACTCTCTTTCTCTCTCTTTGTTTGGTTTGTGTTTACCAGGAACCACCGCGGATGACCTATTCCCGCTCTTCGACAAGTACGGCAAGGTCGTCGATGTCTTCATTCCCCGAGACTGGAGGATTGGCGATTCTCTTGGATTTGCTATTGTCCAATATAAGTATCAGGACGAGGCGCATAAGGCAGTGGAGAAGCTCGATGGTTCCTCTATCTCTCTCTCATAGGCCTCTTATGAGCTTAATTAGAAGATAGGGTTTTGTAATTAATTAATTGAATTTGATTTCAGGGAGAGTTGTTGATGGAAGAGAGATTATGGTTCAGTTTGCTTGATATTATGGGTATTGTGTATTTGGTATTTTCTCTCTTGATTTGAAGCTCTACCTCCATCACTTGCATTCTTTGCTTGATTTGAATTTTCAAATCTGTCGTTCCTCTTACCAATTCGAGTATTGTCCAAATTAAAGCTTCATTTTTTGATATCTTTATCTTTACTTTCATATCTGTAACACGTTCCTCTGACTTTATGGACTTGACATCCTTGGAATTTTTACCGTGGGCATCTGGAGCAACAGTAGAAAAGCCATCTTTCAGTGGTAAATCATATTCATCTCTGGCATGCACTATTTTAATTCTGGTATCATCTTTAGTTGCTGAAACATCTGGTTCACTAGCACCAAGTCTTCTTTTACTCTGAACATGATCAATGTGTTTTGTTTTTCTTTCATGTGCTTCCTTTGCACTTCGAACATATTTCCTTGCATGCGTGCATCTTTAACCTTTTGGACATGTTGTGGCTCCAATGAACGATTACCAGAATTTTGCTCGGAAGCTGTTTTGAACATGTCCTTGTACGGCCCCAATGCAGAGCGGATGTAAGTTGTTTGTTTGATATTATGGGTATTGTGTATTTGGTATTTTCTCTCTTGCTGTTGCTTCTTCTTCTTCTTCTTCCCCTTCTTGCTTCATTTCTTCTGATATTTTCTCTCTCTCTCGCTCTCTTCAAAATCCCACAACAGGTTTCCAAGATCGAGCTCCGGCGAGGTTCTGAATGGTGAATGCAGGGAATATGGAAAATGCTGAAATAATTTTTTTTTATTATTAACATATTTTCTGTCGGTTTTAGCCGACAAGAATGTTTTTATTTTATTTTATAATAAATTCTCTATCGGTTTTATCCGACAGGAATTCATTTATTTATTTATTATAAATAAAAATCCTGTCGATTATAACCGACATGATTTCTGTCGGTTTTAGAGTATTTTCTATCGGAAAGTTCATTTCCTGACGCAGGCAATTCTGTCGCTTATTATATCCGTCATTGCATCCATTTTCTGTCGGATTTTGCTTAAAATCCGACAGTAATATATGTTTTTGTCGGTTTTTGAACCGCCAGTTATAGATAATTTTGTAGTAGTGGTTGTAGCTAGTGGAAGCTGGATAATATAATCATGTCATTGCCAATAATCTCGAGGCAATGTCAAGTTGAGAATATAATTGTGTAATCATGTAATTATTGAGTAATATCTTAGTAATGACAAGCTGAGAGTACAAATGTAATACCCTCACCCCAATACACATGTAAGCTGATATACAATCACACACTAGCCGTAGCTAGTGTAAGCTGGAAATATAATTACACACTATCCATAGCTAGTGTAAGTTGGAAATATAATCAAGTCATTGCCGAGTAATCTCGAGGAAATGACAAGCTAGAAGGACATGGCCACTATGTGAACAAGCTAAAAATACTCATACACATGTAAGTTGTGTCCTACGTCCATGGATGTGGTACAATATTTTAATTATGTACGGGTGTATGCATGGCACAAGATAAGTAATAAGAAAGGAATAACAATCATGCAATCGTCATCGTCATAAATCATAAATCATAAACTATATATCATAAATCATAAGTCTGGCAATAAAATCTCCAAATATGTCTAACTAACTCATAATTATAAATCATAACTCTGAAGATATCGATGCAATCCTTAAAATATAACTAAAATCATATTTATCTAGGTATGCTTAGAAATTTAGATAAATGAAATTTTCTCAAATAAGTGTCCACTCACTGATCGTCAATGAAGTCCTCATCTATCTAGGCTTGTCCTATAGGGCCTCTAGAACTACTCGTACCTAAGTTATAAATGAACCCATTAGTAAAACTCTATTAACACAATTATTTTGAAAAACAATGTGCGAATTTGGAATAAGCGCATTGAAATACCCTAAGATGATTCCTTGGACCAATTCTTGAAAATAGTCAACAGTCAATGTTGACCTGTCAATAGTCAACATTAGTAAAGTCAACGGTCCGATCTGACTGACCCGACCAGACCCGACCGAACCAAGCCCAACCCGATCTGCCGATCACTCCGGAAGCTAGGTTTTTGGCCAGTTTTTTGCAAAATTTTCTATTCGCCATAACTTCCTCATTTCTCAACAAAAACTGATGATCCACATATTAAAATGAAGATCAAGAAGAGAGGAACAAGATTACACAAATTTCAAGGTCGAAAGATGACCAAAATTGCCCGGAAAAACTTGGTCTTTCTACAAAGCTCATCTCCTTTCTTGAACCAAGGAGTTTTTCCTCAAATCTCGCTAAACAACGAGTTGGATGGTGTTTGGGAAGTTGTGGGGTGTCGATGATAGTGGTTGGTGGTTGAAATTGTCGAGAAATTAACGATGGTGGTGGTGTTCGTGTTCTCGGGGGAGTGTGAGCCGAGATAGAGAGAGCAAGATTGTTATGGAAAAGGTTCGGTGGAAAAGATAACACTATGTTTGGATGAAGAAATTTAAGTTTACTAAGGAATTTTAAAATGACGGAAATTGAAATGATGAAATTTTATTTTCTAGAATTTGTGAATTTTCTTGTTTGGGTAACCTAAAAGAACAATGGAATTGAATACGGAATTTGTTATTTTTAAACTCTCAATTATAGAAATTGAGAAATGACACCTATTTACATGGAATTTAAACTCGGGAATTGGAGGTCCCAAATTCCAAGTTTTTTTCCACGCGGAAATTCTAACTTTCTATGTTTATGAATCCAAACAAGGGAACTGGTGCATGTCAATTTACAAATTCTTACTTTAATCCAAATTCTGAGTTTATTTTCCTTATCCAAACATAGTGTAAGGGAGAAGAAAAATTCCCCTCCCTCCGCGGGTCGCACTATACCCAATTCAACAAATTAGAATTCTCTGGAAATGGAGATAAAATTATGAATATGCCATTACATTTAATGACCTGTAAAAGCCTCATTTTAAGTTCAATTTTCGTTGAACTTGCGCCCACACGTTCATAGCAACAAGTAATACGATAATATACTAATTAATATGTTACATTTGTCACGAAAAATAAAGTCAACAAAAGTTGATACGCACCCTTCTTGGGTATTTTGGTAATTTTTCATTAGCGAGGTCAAAATAATATAAAAATTAGGAATAGGTCGTTACATTTAAGCCGGAGCTAGCACAACTTTCTGAAATCCCAACTTAAGGAGAAAAATTCGAGCCCAGAATGTGTTGAAATAATAGTTTATTCTGATACCATAATAAACTTTATAGGCCCAACATGGTCCACCACCAACATCACCGATATTGTCTCAACTTAACCACATAGTGCTAGGTGTTGGGTTGTACCACAAAATGTCTCAATGGTATTAGAGGTGAAAAGTCTCATATATTAATTATATTATTTTGTCATCTATCCGATGTAGGATCTTATCTTCCAACATCAACCTCCTAATTTGTTCTTAACCTCAATTGGAACATAAACGAAGGTGCCTTGTTGTTTTAAGGTTCAAATGTAAAAGGCATGAACCACGTATACATTCAAAAAGTCATTGCAAATTTGACACCAAGCCAAAAACAAATTTGGAGAATATTTGATATGATGATCGATAGTGAAGTGAGAAATTACATTTTGATGTTACATAGGATTGACTCACTATTTGGACGTGGTGTTTATCTAGTTTGATCTTGAGGCCTTCCATTTAGAGACGTTCACAACAAGTAAAATTAAACATTTCTTCTAATGTTGAAATAAATCTTATGTTCGAATTCTCCCTCCCACAATAACAAAACAAAGAAAAAAGAATCGATCGAATAATCAATTTCTTTTTTAATTAACTCAGAAAACAATGCAAATTATGTATACTTGTATACATCCCATGAATTCATTGTATATCATGGATGGTGAAATTCACTTTGAGCAACACATCCACTTACCTTGTACAAAAAGAAAGAACAAAAGTCGAATAGGGTTTATAATGGCAAACAAAAATTATCACAACAATGGTTATAAGAGAGGCCTAAGTTGTAGTCTTGCTGCCTCTAGTAGTTGTTGCAGCTGACCTCTTTGACACTGCTTCCTTCAGATCATAGTAGCGGCTTCGGTGATGATCAACCAACACGCAGAGTTGCCGTATGGCCTCCCTCTTCTCCTCCCCAAGGCTCAACAAATCTTCATCCTTGTACTTTACTTCCCTCTCAAGATTTCCCACCTGACTCTCAAGTTGGCTAAACTCTTTCATTAAGTTGAGCTTCTCTCCAGTTTCCTTGCTCCCCGATGATTCCAACTCCCAAACTTTCTCTCTCAACACACGTTCTTGCTCTTCCTTCTCATTCAGTTGTGTGGTCAAGTAATCTACGTTGTGCTTTAACCGTTTGATCTTGCCAGCATTCTCTTTAACCCAAGTTTTTGCAGACTCAAGCTCCTCCGATATTTTGGCAATCTGGTTTTGAAAATTCTTGTGTCCCTCCTCAAATTTAAGCACCACTAAGTCCAATCCTTGCAATGCACTTTTCGCTGTTTCCGATATTTGCTTCATCTTTCTGTCTGGATCTTGATACGTTGCTAGCTTTTCTTTAAGATCTTCATTTTCTTTCTCGTACATCTCCTTGAACTTCTTGTAGCTCTCCTTGTTTTCGTTATGTATTTGTTCCGCTACCCTGATCCTCTGGTACAAGAGGCGCACTTTGTCTTCAAGATTGATTCGGTACTTCTCTGCTAATTCTTCCATCTTCCTTTCGGCAAATTGTACATTTAACTTAGATTGAGGAAACCAAATTTTAGCTTGTTTATGCTCCTTGTTGAACTTCTTGAAAGTTTCTTCATGTTTCTTGATAATTTTCTGCTGATCGGAAATCTTGACTGTCAAATTATGGTTTTGATTTTCCTTCTCACTCAGTATTTCCAAATACTTCTGGTTATCTCTGTCAATTTGGCCAATCTTGTCTGTCAAGTTATCGTTTAGATTTTCCATCTCAGTCAGTTTTTCCAAATAGCGCTTGTTCTGTATCTCAATCTGCAAGTCCAACTGGCTTTTCTGAGCCTGCAAGGAATCCATTTCCTGTTTCAAATTGCTGACCTGCGTCGTGAATTCAGTAAGTCGAGCAGAAGCTTCGTTCTTTCCATGCTCGCATTCTCCACGAAGAGCGTAAATCTCATCCCCTCTCTCAGTCAAAGTTCTCCAACCTGAAAATTCTAGAAAGAAGACTTTCATTTTCCTGTCTCAACTTGCTGTTCTCATGGTTTCTGTTTTTAATCTGCTTTTCCACATTCCTTTTTTTGTTGCGTAGAGAGTTCACTTCCGATTCCAAGTCATTCAATTTCACAAGAAAACTTCCTTTTTCTTCCATCATTTTCCTCTCAACCGTGTCCTTTTTTGTTAATTCCTCTCTCAGAATTTCCATCTGTTGCAGATGATTGGAGATTTCTTTATTCTTCTCATCCAGTTGTGCTTGTGATTCAATTTTCTGCTGGTGCAGGATCTTCAATTCCTTCTGCATTGCATTGACCTGCTCACTTAAGCCTTTGACTTGCGTCGCTGATTCATTTTTCTTACTCACCATCTGTTTCTCCATTTCACCTTTTTGCGCACACAACGAATCAACTTCCTGTTGCATATTTTCGGCATGTGTCATCAAGTCTGAAATTTTCGACGCTGAGCTCTCCTCATTTTCCTTGAGTTTGTTCTTGAAATCAGATAATTCATCCTCTCTTTCTTTTAAAACTAACTCAAGTTCCAAAATTCGCGCATGTAGTCCGATATTTTTATCTCCTAGCTGTTTAGCTTCAGCAGATTTACCTTCTTTCCATGCTTCCAAATCTCTTTTCTGGCTGCATAAGGATTCCAACTCCATTTTAAAGCCTGTTAACTGTCCCTCTAACTCTTTTACCCGAGCTGAGGAATGATTCCCATGAGCCTCATGCGCTTCGACAAGAGCTGAGAGTTCTCTTACTTTTTCATCCTTCAGATCATTGTCTACAATTTCTGATTGTTTTATTTTTCTCAATGCTGCCAAATATTCTGAATTTATCGCCTCCTTTTCTCCATTTTCAGAGACCGATTTTCGCTTCAGATCACCAGATCCTTCGGAATATTCGTTCTTAAGTTCATGCTTGATGCTGTCAGCTCTTTCCAATCTGGCATTGTTACCTTCAACGTCTTCTGAGGAATAATATTCGGAATCTGAGCTTGGGGGAGACATGGAAAAACCTTTTTGTTCTTTCTTGCCATGAACGATTCTCCCAGACTCTCCTACTAGATGATCATATAAAGCATATAGTGACTGGTACTGTTGGTAGAAGTTCTCAATGAGTGCAACAAGTTCCGACTCTTGCTTCAAATCTTTTCGGTTTACATCCTTCTTCCCTTGGTCTTCGATTTTTATAAGCTTGAAGATCCTTGTCACATTGTTTTCAATTTCTGCAGATAACACAAACTTCTCTGAGAAAAATAACTTCAACATCAAATGAAGTGGGAACAAAAAGGAATAACATATTGATCGACTCTCGAATTCGGGGAGAAAACTCTTAAATTTGACAAATTTAACACACAACCAATGCATCCGAATTTTCATATTATCACATAATATTTAGGGTAACAATTTTTAATGGTTTCCTTGCGCAACAAGCAGACTGCCATAATTTTATAACCCTAGATAAGGCATGCAAGATCGCATCAACACGAAAAAACAAAAACAAGATAAAAAAAACGATCAATTCCAGAAAATCGTACTCAGTTATGGTCTTTTCTTCATGGCATTGCAGAAACAAAAATTTGCAAATTCCGTAAAAATAAAAAGTCTGTTTCGGGATCCACGGATCGAATGAGCGACCGGCATTTTAGTCGAAGATCAAAGGTTGAGAGGAAAGAAGTTTACACCTGTTTTAGTCCTCTTCAGCCGCTCAGTTGTTTCAGGATCAACATGATTATTAAAGGACTTAGCTAGCTCTCTCCAGCGATGTTTTATCATCTCTATTTTGGATACTTCAGCAAATACTCAAAACTCACCACACACAAACACATTTCTCCATCCGTCTTGCTCGCAACATATCTAAGACCTGAAAATCAAACAAGAACAAGATTCAAACAAAATAAAAAATCTCATCAAATAAAAGTGAAGAAAAATTAACATAATCCGTATCGAAAAGCTAGGAAGTAAAATGCTCTTACGAAATTGTATGTTGTGATTAGAGAGTAAGATTGACAGAGAAACACTTACGGATTATTAGTTCTTTACCATTAGAGTAAATTGTACAAATGGTCCCTCAACTTTAATCAAATTGGAGCAATGGTCCCTCAACTAAAAATCCATTACCATTGGTCCCTCAACTTATCAAAATGTGTAGCTATAGTCATTTTCATCAATTTTGTCAAAATTTTGTCAAAATAAGCTATGTTGGAATGACCATTTATATAATTAGGGTCCCTTAACTCATCAAAGTGTATAATTATGGTTTTTTTCGTCAACTATGTCAAAAAATTTGTCAAAACGAGTTATATTGGAAGGACCATTGCTACAATTGGGTTAAAGTTAAAGGACCATTTCTCCACTTGAATTAAAGTTCAGGGACCAATGATAATGGATTTTTAGTTAAGGGACCATAGCTGCACGTTTTGATAAGTTGAGGGATCAAAGGTAATGAATTTTTAGTTGAGGGACCATTGCTCCAATTTGATTAAAGTTGAGGGACCATTTGTACAATTTACTCTTACCATTATAAGCATTCTATGGGTTGGTGATTCTTCAAGTTCCACTAAATATTTCTTTCATCGAGTTCAAAGTTATAGCATTTATTTCATCAAGTAGCGCAGGCAATCGTAATGGCAGGGTCAACTAAAGATTTAGTAAGTAAAAGAAAAATTAAGACACTAAAGATGGAAATCACAAGTACATTTTAACGATGTAGAATTTTCCGTGTTGAACTCATTGAAAAATCTCACTTCTACTTAATTTTCTTCAACTTTGATCTCATTGATCAACAAAGTTGATTGTTTAGGGCATAATAGTCCTTTATAGCTTAAACCTAAAATCGAAACGATTTACCAAATCTTATACTAGAAACTTTAAAGTCTAAGCTCTTAATGATGATTCTACTCGATTTTCTTCAACTTTGATAACATTTATTGACACGGTTAATTATTTTAGGGCATATAATTGTCTTTTAGCGCTCAAACCAAAAATGGAAGGAATTTACCAATTTCAATTCTCGAAATCTATTGTGTAAGCTCTAAATAACTTTCTACACCCTAAAAAGACAATCAAAGTTGAACAAATTTGAATAAAAGTGAAATTTTCTCAACTCATCTTTGTTTTGCACAGGAAAACACTATATTTATATACACAAACAATAAAATAACATATGAGAATAACCTTTACGTTTCCCAACAAAAAACAAATAGAGTAGTCTTCCAAAAAAAAAAAAAGCAAATAGAGTAAATTTGCCAAAATATTAAGTTCTTTTTCCAAATTAGACAATGAGGAGCCTTATTTATTGATATTATATTTCATTTGTCTATTTTTTTTAAACATACAATATGATAATTATATTAAATTCATCTAAGTTACGTAAATGGCGAAAAACAATAAGTAAATGATAGAATCACATCAAAGAGTAACAAGAAATGGAAATATTTTTGTTTTCTGAAATCCTATTATATAAACAATTATTGAATCATGCTCCTTAGCTCATATCAGACTGTAAGATAAAACCAAACAAAAAAAAAAATTTCTCGAATTGGAACTAGAAAATCTTTAAAGTAGAACACACAGTAAAAATAAATCAAATAAAATTATCTTGAATAATTTATCCACAAAAATTACCTGAAACTGGAATGTCATTTTCACCTAGCGGATCAATTTTATCTGAGCTCAGATGATCTAAAAAGAAATATTTCGATTGCAATTGGAGCAGAATTTAAGATCTTTTTCCCTCAAAAACCAAAAAATAATGAAAAAAAAAAAGCAGGATTTTGGGAGTTAAAAATTGAAAAATGGGAAAGGAAATAACTGTAATTTCCTTGGGTTTTTTTTACTGGTTATTCTTGTGTCCAACACCTACCTTTGTGGAGAACCAAAAATTGGCGCTTCTTTCGATGAAAATACCTTCTGATTTTCCAAATATTACAACGGAAACCATTGGAAATCAACGTCTGAGATTCGCGCTAACTCGGGACCAAAAAGGCTGACACTTGGCATAATTTGGTACTCGCTCTGTAATTACCACGTGCGGTATTTCCTGCCTTCTTACAGAACATCGCGGGGATTGATTGACGGCTAGATAAAGTGATTAACTTCGAAACCCAGGTCCACGTTGCTAGGTTTTAGGATTTTTTTTTTTTTTGGTTTTTTAATTTGTTTTTAATTAAATCAAAATTATGATTGTGGAACTTTAACGAAAAATTTCTAGTACTGTTCATTTTAATGAAAAATTTTATTTTTACACTAAAAATTCAATCTTGATATTATTCACTTTATCCTTTATTTTGTTCTTATAATTAAAACTCAAAGTTTTCAAACTTTTTTCATTAATTTTTCTTAATTTATATGATGCGATGTCTATCTCACATACCAATAGTATACAATAATGGTACAAATAAATAATATGAATAACATCATTATTTTAACTTCATAACATTTCTTAATTATAAATTGTCGAATGTCATAAGCCCGTTTTTCCTGATGGTTTTATCGTGTGAATCATTGTCAATAGTTTGAGTATTGACCTTTGGGCACCTGAGGTATCTATCAGTGTGGGAGTTTAGGTATCCTATATGCCTAACTTTTTTATGATCATTAATAATATAAACCAGATTTATGATTAGCGGCCAATTAAATAGACATGGAACATGTGATTGCGAGTGTAACACATGGGAGATTAATCGTGACGGAATGACTCAATGATTGATGACAAATTTTAGGTTTGTATTCCACAAAGCACGTACTGAGTCCGATTATTAATGAATCACACAATGATGGCCATGAAGAGATTGCCTTTGTAAGTCTTCCTCGCCCTTGAAAGGGTGGACTGCCGTGACGAAGTCACTAGCTGATCGACCTTTTAAAAAATAGAAAAGAAAAAGTAACACATAGGAGATTTGGGTGATTAGCCTCACTTAATTCAGTTTTAATGTCCAATTTTCAATGTCTATATGCGTACTGTAATAATTATGTGGCCATAAAAATTACATTCTATTTAAATGTCAAACTCAATGGGAAAGGAGGAAACTCTGAAATCTCTTTTTTTTTTTTTTTTTTTTTTTTTTGAATCTAGTGTCTCCGGGGCTTTGACCCGACTACTCACTAGGCCACCCGCCTGACCCCACAACATTTGGTAGGCAAGAAACTCTAGCAATTGCTAGGTGGGTACCTTGAGAGGTGTCGAACCCCAGACCTCTTGGTAACAAACCAAGGGTCTGACCATTAGACTAAACACTCTTAGGTAACTCTGAAATCTCTTTGGTTGTTTCAAAATCACTTTCAAACAAGTCGTAATGATTTATAAATCACTTTCAAACAAGTCGTAATGATTTATAAATTAAAATTTTGATAAAACAAAATGATATCGAATTCTTTATTTATCATATTTAAACTTAAGACCTCTCACTTACAACAAAGATAAATGGTAGACTGTAGTGGTACCAAATGACAAATTTTTTTACATCAATAAGAGAATTATCTAGGGGTGGATTTTTTTTGCCAAATTACCGTGCCAACCGTGCCATACCGATTTGTGCCAATTGGTAATGGTACGGTGTTGTACCACACCGAAATTTCATGGTACGATATTCGTAATGGATACCATTACCACGGTATTACCGTATCATATCGAAAATATAATATAATATATAATATATAATTATATAATATATTATTTATAATATTCCAATAATTTGAAAATAAAACCGTACTTATATTAGCTTTGTTGTTGGTGACTTTGATCTCTTGAGTTGATGGAAATTAAACACAAAAGAGTTCTCAATTCTTTCACAAATAGCCATGGGTATCTTTGCCCCACTTCTACAGTTGCTAGTGAAAATGCATTTAGCCTAGGGAGGAGGGTTGTGGACCCTTTTAGGGCATCACTGACTTCTAAAATAGTAGAGGCACTAGTGTGTACTAGTGATTAGCGGATGAAGTAAACTTCTACAAGGAACCAATAGAAGATATGCTTCAAATTTACAAGGAAATTGAAGAAATGAAAACAAGTAAGACATGCTTTAATTTTTTTGTAGTAAATTTGTTATTAAATGGTTTTCACCTTTAATTCTTCTTGCTACTAATATATTTTCTTTGATTTTACTGTAGACTTGACACAATTGTTTGTAATGTAGACTTGACACAAGCACAATCTTCTACAAGTTCAATACCTTCTCCAAAAGCTTCGACATCTCAAGCTTGAAGAATTGGTCAGTGAATTTTACTTTTTGAAGTTTAGTTCCAATCTTCATTTGGTTTGAAACTTTAACTTTTACTTAGATTGTTAACTTCTATTTGTTATGGTTCGTAACTTTTATTTGGGTTGTAAGCTTAATTTCATCATGAATCTTAATCATTTGAATTATTGTATGTGAATTGTGAATGATAAATAATAGATGAATTTAGACTACAATGTATGAGATAAAGATACAAATATAAAGTGTGCCCTTGAATTGGGTTAAAAAAAAACAAAAACAGATTTTGTCACAAAACAAAGTGGCAATTACCATTGGCATACCATGCGAACAGAACTATTTGGCAATACTAAACTTCGATATACTGAAAGTTTGGTACGGTAATGGTAATAGATTTTGCCAAACTAAGTTTGGTACGGTAATTGATACGAGGGTTTTGGTACGGTAAAAAGAGTTTCGTTAGACATTCTCTCTATCACCATCAAGCATGGTTTCTCAAAATCAAGATGATCAATTTGAAGGCAAACCATAGTGCCAAGCACGACGGAGGCAACCACAATTCTCAAAAAGCTTCACACTCTTGGATCCAAGACATGTAAACAAAACCAATTACTGTGCCAACAAGATTCATTAATGAGGGCAAAACAATTTCAAAAGCTTCAACACTCGAAAATGAATGTGAACACCCACCTTTAAAATGACTTAGAACCTCAAAACTTTAGCGCAGAATACGATTTGATCCTTATTGCCTTTTTGCCAACTACCACAGTTGTACAGGTCGCTCTCCCAAATAGATTTGATCTATGAGATAAGCATGAATACCCAAGTCTAAGGTGCCAACAGTTCAAAACAAGTTTCTGCAAAATACCAAACACTGGAGTCTTCCTCAAGTGTTCAAACCTCTAATAGGCTTGTCAAATCCTCCTCATAAGCCTCCATAAAAAATAAACAAAAACAGAAAAGGGTTTTCAGTACAATTCGGGAATAAAATTAGAATTTCAATTCTCACTAGTCAAGGCAATACCTGCGAAGTTTCTTCAACAAAGAACTAAACCGATTATATCTAACACACAATCCACAACTATACTATGATCTTCGAATAGTTATTTTGGCATGTATTCTTTTGGGAATAAAAAATGGTATAACAAAAATAGCTTCGGACCCATAGAAACTTGCTCATTCTTCAGACAGAGCAATACAAATAACATGCAGAAAAACCCTTCAAATTCTAAGAATGAATAAGCAAACTTCCAAACAATGGTTAGATCTGCAGGGTATTGGGTCTCCTTCTCTTTTTGCTCTCATTCAATATTTCAAAGGCAACTATCTGATGTTGTCATGGCAAGTGGCGATCAACATTAAAGTAATGTACTTTTGTCATAAAGATGCTCAATTCAAACAAATAGTGTTGTCATCCATACAAGTTGATTGTATATAGACTAGAAATTCATCAGCCGGACCTGCCATTTTCCGGAAGTTCAGGCTGGTGTTACTTTTAGTCCTTAGGAACTCATTCACTCCCATTATCAATTTGGTTAAATGAACTTTAAAGGTGTTATCCTGGTATTTGCTGCTATTTTAAATTCTTTGAGTCATTACTGCATGGCACTGGTGCAACTAAAATCTATGGTATATTATACCATATGTAATGAAACATCATAGAAGAGTACAAAAGTGCAGAAAAGGTTGATATATTCCATAAGAAACTATCAAAATTCAAACAATCAAAGTTGTCTTAGAAAGAAGGATGTTCCTGTGTCTTACCTTCCACAACAACTCAGGCATGTCAAGTGATGGCTGGGCAATGGCAAGTTCAAAAAGCGACCTGGTTCGTTCTGTCTCGCATAAAGATTGCTCTAACTCTGCATACTTGGTCCACGCATAACAATTTTCTGGGGACCACTCCAGATACTTTTCGTACAACTTCCGACATCTATCCATATTCCCAAGGTTCAGCTCAATCTCAATATACTTCTTAAATATCTGTTTTAGGGAAGCATATTATGAATACTAGCTATACATTTTGACTTGTTAAATGAACTTTTAAAATGAGTATGTGTATTAGCTAAAGATACATTACCTTATCTTTGGGTGCCTTTCCTATTGCATTGCCAAGGATCTGTCGTGCACCCTTGAGATTCAGCTGCCGTATCTCAAACTGGGCAGCGAGAAGCCATATTTTTGCAAACGAAAACTTCTGGTGAGGAATCAGATTAAGGCACTCCCTGGAAGAATTTCTAGTTATTGAGAAATCTGTTCGAAGTATTTAGGATGTGTCCATATGCCAACTATGTCAAAGGTAACAAATGTAAACTTATACTGTGAATCCTTGTTTTAATTTGCATGAATATTTTCACCAAATAACCGCAATATGCATTGCAAAATCTCCAAAGTGTAAACCATCAAATTAGTTGGTGCAACAAAGAGATGTCTAAAAAACTAATACAACAAATCATGATGTACTACAAAAAAGCCGAAAGCTCATCAGTCCACTATCATGATAAACTAAAATGGTACATATAATATAATAACACCAAAAATATAACTTCATACCCAAATTGTTCAAATAAAACATTAGTTTTCTTTTCACCCAAAAGAAAAAATTAGTTTCGTTGGGTAATAGTTTTCAAGCTTATCCACATACACATTCAGTTAAACCTTTTTTCAGTCCCAGTGTACTGTAGCAATTCATGTACCGAGAAGATGAACAAGATTTATTTCCAATTTTATACATAAGTATTTATGCATCAATATTGATCTGAATAGTAGTTAAAGAAAAATATGTCAAGAACAAAACAATCTTCAGGTACGTCAACAAAACATAGCTTAATAAAATGACGAATACCTGTACACATCTCGAGTACGTTCCATGTCTTCAGCATCAAGCTCCTCGTAGAGTGCATAGTTAATCCTAACATTGCAAAAGAAACAAACAATCAGCAACATATTATTCAAACAAATCAAGCCACATTAAAGTCAAAGCATTAGCACAGTCGCTAACTAACCAAGGCTTAGTATATGTACCACGTACCATAAATAAATGTATCGTTGCCAATATCGCTTCTCCGGAGCCGGAGGAACATTAGCAATTGCTCGCTCGTAAACTTCTCTAATTCTATCCTTATTCCCTGCACTCTCTTCTAGCCTTATATAATCAAACCATGCATCATAATTACGAGGTTCTTCCTAACCTCATCTTCATACTGGAACCTCCTCTTTCCCACAATTGCATCTTCAATCCCTTGCCTATCTCCATACTGCTTCTCGAAACCCACAAACTTCTTATATAAGTCATCGGCCCTTCCTTTGGGTATATGATCAAGTGCAAACTTATAAATACACCTTGCTCGATCAGTTTCTTTGCACCGCTCTTCGAATTCAGCGAAAGCCACAAATAACTGCTCAGCCTCCTCATCATCGGCTAGAATCTCCACTGCTCTCTCATATACATTTCTTGCCCTCGCGACCTCACCATTCTTCATCTCAAACTTGGCAAACCGAATCCAAGCACCAACTTTTGGATGACATTGTACGAACCGCTCAAAAATCGCTCTAGCACGCTCCACTTCATTATAGCGAAGCTCAAACTTGATAAAGGAGAGCCAGCCTTGCTGGTCCGGCATCCAATTCATCCACCTCTCATATATCTGTCGAGCACCAGCCACATTCCCTATAATCTCTTCCATGTGAATGTACTTGTACCAGAGCTGGTCAACTCTGGGTAAGAGCGTAACAGCACGGTCCCACACATTTCTCGCATGGTTAATGAACTTGTTCTTCATCTCCACCTCCGCATACTTGAGCCACAGGGTGTGGTTTCGATAATCGACCTCAAGGGCACGCTCCCAAACCGAGCGAGCACGCTTGAAGTCCTTCTGGGACTCCTCCCACTGTGCATACTTGATCCAGACACTGACATTCCACCTCACACGCCGGATTAGGTCCTCGAATTCTTTGCGCTTACGGAGACGGTAATCAGCAAGCTCAGTGGGATCAGTTATCTTCTGTTTGGGAGGTCGAATTTCAGCCTCCTGACGCTCACGTGCCTCCCGAAGAATTTGCTCTGCAGTGATTTGGACGGGGGCTGGGGTTTTGTTCTTAACCCTAGTGGGTCGTGGGAGTTTGACCTCAGTGTCCTTTCGGGTTAGGAACCCTAGGGAAGGGTCTGCGTCCTTGTAGGAGCCCATGGCTAGGGTTTTTTCGCCTGGAAAACAGTACAACCCAGTCAAATTCTAGCAATTCTCGATGCTTTTCAAATTTTGAACTCCAGAAAGTGATTCCAAATCTCAAAAACGAAACGTGAACTTTGCTAATTCCAATTGCAGAAGTAATTTCAAAGTTTTAACATGAAATTTAATCGAATTAACTGAAACTTGATAATTTAGAACAAACTGGAATCAGAGAATTTAATCACAGATTTTAAGTTTTTACCTGGAATTCGGAAGAGAAATCTAGCAGTTGCGGAATGCGAGGTCGCTGGAGAAATGAGAGGGAACGGCTATTAGGGTTTTGAAATTAGAGGAATTGGGAATTTAGGGTTTGGGAAATAGAGGGAAAGGGGTGCTCGTGGAGGAGACGATGGGGATTGGAATAGATGCGCGCATAAAATTTCGTGGGTAAACGTGTTGGGGTTATTACTTGGGCCGGGTCCTTCCGAATCCAAATATAATTCGGGTTTCTAGAATTACGTATTTTTATAGAGGACTTAAGAGCAAATTAGAGATGCATGTGAAACTTTTACAACTCCGACGACATATTCGTTGAAATATTTCAAGATGGCAAACAATTTTGCTCCAGTGAAAAATTGTAGAACTTTCCTCTACGAGTCTTTCCGGTTTTTGGAGAAGATAGATAACTGTGATTTACCACTGTGGAGCCAAAAATAATCAAGTAAATTATGGAGACGACGTGTGGATTTTTGGGTAAAAGACAAAATTACCTTTAAAGCACACCGAAATTCTCACGCGCATGCAACGGACAATAACGGCTCAATCGAGGTCAAAAGTGATCAAAATGGTATTCTTTTAAAACCCTCTCATCACTTCTCATCAAATCCTCACCCACAAGATAACTCTGAATTATTTTTTTCAAATTAGGATTAATTAGCAAATTAATTGCAAGATATTATATCTTACAATCAATCCCACAAATCAACCATATATGGCCGGTCCTAATTCTCCTAATAGGGCCGGCCACACCCCTATATATAGCCTCTCATTTCTCCAAAAACTTAAGTTCAATTTTCTTCTAAAATTCTCTAAATTTCTCTAAACATTTTTATCTCAAATTCTAACTTTGGCATCGGAGGCCCCCCCATTCATCGTGGGTACGTAAGGCTTTTGACCTTGATCTTAGGTGTTAATTATTTTACAGGTGCATTTTCATCCAAGAAGAAGAAGGTAGAACTTTACATCCACAAATTGGTGCTTTCATTGAGAGTCTTGATTCACACTCTCGTAGAAGACTCTTGCATTCAAGGTTTCTAATTTTTTGTTCATTCGTAGATTTTTCATACGTTCTTATTTCTAGAATTTTTTATAAAAAAATTATTTGAATAAATGTAAAAGAAAAGTACAATGACAAGAGATTCAGAAATCACGACGAACAGAAATTCCAATATTCAAGAATTTGGACCACGACGATCTACGAGGCTCAACATGGTAATGAGTGAAGCGGCACCACCCCCACGGGGTACCACCGTAGTAGCCACCGTAGCAACCACCACTGCAGCCACCACCTTGGCAACCCTCGGCGTGGCCCACACCTACGGTGAATGAATCACTTTGCAGCCGCAAGCCCAAGCCCATGCCACCTTGCAACAGCGAGCCTAGCCCCGCGCCACAAGGGAACCCAGCTCTGCCCAAGTTGAACAAGCCTAGAATCAGGCAACCACGGCATGAGAAGCAGCCCAAGCATCGCGGGCCCAAGGCCATCACGAGCCCAATCCACTACAAGGCCATCACGAGCCCAATCCACTCCAAGGCCGAGCCAATGACCAGAGGGCTTAAGCCGTGCCACTCCAAACTTCATAAGCCCAAGCCCAGAATGAGTCAACCCAAGCCACGACCCGACGTAAGCTCAACACGCATCCGAGCCGAGCCCAAGCCCAACTCCCACACGTGCCGTATGTGGAGCAGCATACTCTCATGGCCTAGCCCACTTCGGTGGTGTCCCAAACAGCCCAAATAGGGTCGACGATTGAACCGAAGACATTTTCACCCTATTTCTCTGTAGATTTGACATTTCCCAACTCAAATCCCGCCTAGAGTCTACCACACTTCCATTACTCAAGGAGACGCATTTCGTCCAAACTCTTCCAACCTAAATGGAGAACAACACTTGTCTCGACAAGTTATAGAATTGAAAAGCGCCATCACACAACATATGACCTTGGTGAATCAGCTCATGCAGCGCACCAAGATACAACGTGCCCCTGACGAGGTGTCCCGGACATAGGCAGACGAAGAACCTCTCAAGTAGCATCCTGGCAAGCAACCACTCGACCAGCCACGAATTGAGCGTTCTGGCAATGTACACTTTTGACTAGGCCCTTGAAATAGCGTATACTCTCGTCTTAGTGCGTGAATGAGCGTGCATTCTTGGTTAGGCCTACGGGCGAGCATACACTCACGGTTGGGACCACACTTCGATAATTAACATGAACAACCTTCAAAATGAAGTGCTCATTCGATGCTAGGCCCGCAAGAAGCATCATTCACCTCACATCAAAGTAGGTAGAATGAATGATGGAGAGAATCAGTCACTCAATCCAGCTCAAGTTCGACCAGCAGCCTGCGAGGAACTCACTCGTCTGCTAGGGATGTATCACATGCACCGCTGATAGGAGCATATTTATGCGACTGAGTTAGCTTGTTCTCATGCATTTATGTTGTTATTCCTTAGTAGTTTTAGTGTTTAAAGTCATTTTTGTGCAATTTCAGGTTCTAAGGACAAAGTATGCAAAAATGTGCATTTTGGAGCCTTTTGGAGCCTTTTGGAGCAATTTTGGGCTTGGAATAAATATCAAATGCTTGGAACTAAAGGAATGGACGAAATTGAAGACCTAAAGATGAGGATTCCTACTTGAAGTAGGAAAGTTAAGCCAAGGTTTCCTATTTTTGTTTGATCTTTCCTAAATCCTAAATGTCCCTAAATTCCAGCAACATTGAAGGTTTCCTATGCATTTTAGGACACAAATTAAGGGTTCCTTGTACCATAACAAACCTTTGCCGTGCACTCCATCCATGTTTAATTCTTGCATCAATCATTACTTCACTTTCACTTTTGAATCATTTCAACACCACTCCATTTTACCCATGCTTTGCACACCACTCCATTTTACCCATGCTTTGCATCATTACTTCACTTTCACCTTTGAATAATTTCAACACCACTCCATTTTACCCATACTTTGCATCATTACTTCACTTTCACCTTTAAATCATTTCAACACCACTCAACACCACTCCATTTTACCCAGGCTTTGCATCATTACTTCACTTTCACCTTTGAATCATTTCAACACCACTCAATTTTACCCATGCTTTGCCTTGCACTTCCTCTATAAAAGGAAGTGTGTGTAACATAAATTGAGTTCATACTTGGTTAGATCATTCACTCCCATTTCAACACAACCTTCATCCAAACACATCCATTCATCTTCACATCCATTCCTCCATACAAACAAACCTTCAAACACTCACCAACACCTTGTGCCGTAGCAAAGGAAGGGAAGGAAAGTGCTTGGACGTGCTTGCTGTCCAACTTGGATCATTTGAGCGTTTAGGTGTTTTCTTTCTTTTGTTTCTAATGTTTAAATTCATTTCCTTTTGTTTTGTTGTAAATATGAGTGGCTAAACCCCTCTTGGCTAGGGGTGATTTCAAAGCCATGATTATGTGTGCAATATAATTTGATAAATTCCAGTTATGAACTCTTGAATCGTGAATGCAATTGGCTTAACTATTTGATTGATAACTTATTTGTATTTGTTAATTAAGGGTCGACACTTAATTGGCATGCATAAATCCGTTGCTAGAATATAAGGAAGTTTCACATAATCGTTACAAACTTATATTCACATGTAGTGAAGGTCGCTTATAAACGATCGCGTTAAGTTCAATTCCTAGCATGAGTGACATGATGTCATAGTTGCAAGTGCTTTGTCAATGCTTATGATTTTCATTAAACGTAATGATCTTTGATTGTATCTCTATTATGATGTCATGTAGGGAACTTCAGAAGAATGTTTTGGGTTGTCGAATGATGTCATCCAATCCAATAAAACAAGGAAAATCTGAGAGTTAACTAGTGATGTCACGGTTAATTTGGAGTATTGTCGTTCATAATTCAATGAAGTAGTAACTGGAAATCAAGTTATTTGCATACATGTCATGTGTGGAGAAAAAGCCTCTAGCTATCGCATCTATCATCTTATTTCTCACATTCATTTTACAATTTATCTAGTTTTTCATACTTGTTTGTTTGTTTCAACTTCATCCAAATCAAAACCCCCCTTTTAGTTTCTTGTTTCAAAGTGTTTCAAATCTGTTTTAGTTTGTGTTTTTAAGTGTTTTGATTCAAGTAAAAGTCAATTTTCGTCCAAAGTCATTCCTAGTGTCTAGTTTAAGTTTATTTGGTTGTTTTAAGCTGTTTTGAGTATTTTAAGGTTGCTTTGAGTCTTGTGAGTCTTGTTAAGTGTTTTTAAGTTTAGTTTTATGTTTTTGAGTCAGTTTAGAGGTTATTAGCAAGCCCTCCTGATCCCCGGTCCAGAACGATCCCTACTTATACTTGTACTACAATTGTCAAAAGAGGGTTAAATTTGTGTGTTAAGAGAATTTTCGCACCAACCGCAACCATGGCATAGATGAGTCGAACATATACAAGAGCAACCTAGACCAGCAGGTTAAGAACAAGGGCAGCCGAGAGCTTCGCTACCCCCAACAAAGGCAAATTCAGGAAGAAGTAGATATGCTCTTGACCAAGCGATTGGGTGATTTCCAACGCAACGTGGTCACTAATGAGGCGCTACGACGGGATATGACCAACATGAGCAGGTTACCCTTCACAGACAAGATTGAGCAGGCAGAGCCTCCACGTAAGTTTAGCATGCCACATTTCACATTCTTCAAATGAGATAGAGACCCGGAGAGATACTTGAAGCACTACTTTAAGCGCAATGATCCTCTATCAAAACAACGACATTCTCATGTGCAAGATATTCACCATCATTTTACAAGGCGAGATGTAAGATTGGTTCTACACCCTGCTGTCATAATCCATTCGGAGTTTTAACAAACTTTCTTTGGTTTTCACCAAAAAAATATTCATCTTATCGCTTGATCAAGAAGAAGTCTGACCACTTGTTCAACGTCAAGAAGAACTCAAAGGAGTTGCTTCATGACTATTGAAGAGGTTCAAAGCAGAGACAAAGATAATCGGATCCAACCATTCGATAACTAGAGTAGCCTTCCAAAAATGACTTCTAGCAAACCACCCGCTGTTCGAAAAATTGATCATGAAAGAAGATCTAACTTTGGCAGACTTTTTTGCTCTGGCAAAGAAGCATGCACTTTGGGACGAGGCTCGCCGATCCAAATTCAAGAACTTGAAG